ACCATTTCTGGCCGGCAACTTTCAGCGTCATTAAGCCACTGCGCCACCGCGTCCCCCTTTTTTCCTCTAAATACTATAATGTAAATCAAAAATGCTCATCCTATGACATGAAGCACCAAATGTCTTATGCATGACTACAACTTATCCTTTTGGGGGGGGGGGAGAAAATGAGACCATGATTGTACCCTAAAGAGATACTAATATTTTTCAGCCACAGAGCTTTGTATATGAGTAAATACTTATAAATTATTCAGACCATAAAGCATCAGACAATGTTGGGATTTTCTGAGTATAGGGAGGGAGGAATGATATCATCTATCTTTCTACGATGTTTGCTTTTCCCCCCCCCCCTAATGTAAAATTTGGTTACAGGGATATTCAATTTTTTGAATATTTTTAATGGAGGAAGAGGCAGGGTGAAAAATTACAAGTCATCTGCATATGTGGTATATTTCTGGTTTCATCCCATTACAAAATGAATTATGGATTCAGTTTTCATGGTGAGGTAATGTTTGGATTATAATATTAATACAAAATGTATACACAGTGCTGCATAAACTGTTCTAATTTATATTTGTGAATCCACGCAACTGCAGAAAAGTTATATTTATATGAAAGATTAAAACTATATTTGTATCATCAGGCATATTTGTCATGCCATAAATAAAATGAGGGAATAGAGTATAAAGTAAAAGTGTTTCTAGTCATGTAAATATCTGGAGATTTTGTCGCGCGGGGAGGAGGGTTTTTTGTTTGTTTTATTTACTGAAGTTTTCTTACTCTCTGTTCTTCATCTATCGTAAGACCTGGATGTGGCCAGTGTTCTGAAGGCCAGCTGATTTTTATTTTTCTCAATCTGGTGCCTTCCTGATACACTGTGAGTGGAAATCACAAAAGTCACACAGACCAAGAATTCTTGGTGTTGCAGCCTCAACCTCCTGGAGAGCAGGAGGTTGAGAGAGGCTGGAACAGACAATTTTAGCATGACTTCTCTTTGCATCACCATTAACCTCTGCTGGCATTGGATGAGGGCCAAGGAACTTGCAGAAGGTGGTCTCCACTAGCTCTAAACAATGCTCATCTTTTGTTGCAAAGAAAGAATGTGGGAATCATGAATTTTACCCAGTACTATGAATGGCGAAATTGAATTTAAAAAATCATTTTAACATAGTTTTGATCATTATCAAGTGTAGATATTGGAACGTTATTCCATTTTCCGCTTTTTAAAAATCGAAGATATGGCATTTTTAATACAAGAGAACAAACACAACTTCTGAAAAACTGCTATCCACAGCCTTTTGTTAAATGGCAATACGTAGTGTCCAAATGATCAGAACTGAGGAAATGTAACAGTGTATTTTTTTAAAAAGGGCTGGGATTTTATACAATATATTTTCAGATAGCTTCATGTCCTTATCAAATTAAATAGAATTTATTTTCAAACAGTTCCTCAAACCAGCAAAATATAAAACAAGCAAACCAATCCACCAGCATAATCAATCTGGAAACAGAAATATTAAACAACTACAAAAAAGAATAATACATAATATGAACCATTTAAAACAAAGTATCATTAAATAATATATTATACAGTAGAAGAATTAAGAGCAAAGCAAGATTTTGAATCTGCCACAAGATGGTGCTTTTTAGCCAATTAGATATACAGTGAAAAAATAACACAGACAACCAGTATGGCTCAGTAGTTCTATGCAAGGGCATTTCCCATCTACTTTTACAAGATGCTTTTCATTTAGGATATCTTTATGAGCCTGTATCACCTTTCCCTGACTTGTCCCTGCAATCTTGAGAATTCCAGCCAACAAGGTCACTGACTGCTAGATAAGACGTTGGGATCGGTACCCCCAATACATTTGGAGAGCAGCAGGGGTGCATTGTGC